CTTATAAAATCAGTGTTCTGTCCATTCCTTTACTTGGAAATACCATTATAAAAGTCATTAAAAGACATCCAATTACCTTGGACCATAGGTTTCCAACCATAAAATGCCAACCATGAAGCTTGGAGTATGAGGTTTGCAAGATTCAAACATCCTTATTAAAGTCATCTTTACTTATTTACTAACAATAACAGAGATAAAGGCACATCATTTTACCTTAAATAAGGGATTAATCTTGAAAATATAAACAAGATTGATGTGATCAATTTATTGAATAGTTACTCAACTTCAGTGATGCCATATTTTGATGAAAGCAAAAAGTTACGAATATTTTTCTGTAATACATTTTCAATGCAAGCAACAATTTTTTAAACAGTACATTTTATAGTCATCAGTGATCCTACTGACCTCTCGGCAAGATATAAAGTTTGAATTGTCTAGGTACAACCAATTACATGACATGGCTCATTACATGGATTTGTGCCTTATTACCAAAAAGGAAGGCAAAAGTCATCTCTCATTGTTAAAAAAAAATCTCTACTTCCTAGTCTATGCTGATTCTGCCAAACCTTCTGATCTCCTCATCAATGGTTTCAAGGTGCACTTTATTATAAATACTTAAGACATACTAAATATAGCCTAGGGACATGCAGATGCCTGTCCCCTCGTTACTTACCATTTACAGGGAGGACAGCCCCACTTCCAACTGCCAATAGCTTGAAGGCTTTCTCTGGCAGCTACCATCTACTCTGCACACACATGGACCAGATCAGAAGCTACTGGGGAATTACAATTTCCCTCAGACTAATCCTTGACCAAACTGACTGGACACCTGGCCTGCAGACCCTTGGTTTAGATAATTGATGTATGTTGTATATAGCCTTGCAGAGGTCCTAAGTAGAATTAAGATCTAATTGCTTACAGTGGTAATTTGCTTGATATGTACTCTTTATCAGTTTCCCTGTATTTTTTGCCTCATTTCTCCCACTGCCCTATCACATCTGTAATAAACTACTCATACTCAAATACTTATTTCTAGGTCTGCTTCTGAGGAAACCCAAACTAAGAGGAGGTATAAAGATACAATAGGGGGTTTAGCTTCAAAGAATTCATAATCTAAAATAAGACCAATAATCAGCAAAACAAAAACAATAACCAAGGAAAAAAACATACAATATTACATTGTAAATAAGTGTGCTGGCCCAGGTGAAGATAACAATCTGGAGGCTTAAACATTCCATGCACCACTGGAATGTTAGCTAATAGTCTTCCCTGTAACTCTATTACCTCCACTGGGAAAAAGCTGCAAGACTAACTCTAATAGTCACCTTACTCTAAAATATCTTCCTACCTCGTTGTGACCACTGTTTTAATACTTCCTGAATAACAGATCGTAGCCAAAGGGTAACAAAGAAGGTAGGATTATAAACTTAATTCCATGAGAGCTATGAACAAAAGAGGAAATCAGAATGACAATATAGTGATTCCACTAGTTCAAACTATAGCTACTATTAAGTGAATTTTATCCTTACATTCTTTTGACAGCCCATCATTCCCCTAGGCAACATACAGAGGGCAAAACCAAATCAATACTCTGGCCATCATTCACAATTAGTTTGATACACAGTGAGGTGATTATCTGCAACACAACATTAATGAAAAAATCAAATATTATTGCAGAGCATTTTTTTAGAAGGTAACATGTTGTGGAGTGACTGAGTGGATGCCTGAGACTGAGTGATCAGGGAAGGCCTGACTTGTGAAGATGAGCAGGGTAAGCATTGCAGGCAACTGGTCCAAAAACCCTCTGGCATGTTCAAGCAATAAGTGTAGTTCAATCATTTTCTGCTTAGGTGATTTATCTTTGATTTACTCTTCAGAAATGATAAAATATGACATTATTGAAGATCTAGTAAGTTTTGATAGAAGCCCGATAGTGCTGGGCTTCATAAACAGTTTAGATCTTATGTGGCTTTAAGAAGCCCCTGAGGGCATTTAAGTGGTACCATGATCTAAATTTTAACAAGATCCCTGTTTTTTCAGAAAAGATTGTAGGGCAGAAAAAGTAGATGTAGGAAGACCAGTTGGGTGATTTACATTACAGTAAATCTTAGTGAATGATGATGGTGGCTTAGATTCAGATACTAGTAAGTGGGAATAGACTCTGGATATATCGGTTCAAGTGTTTCTGGGTGGAAGTAACCAAATACGCACCTGTCTTGAATAAGGAAATCTGTATATTACAGATTACTGTGTATTATAGAATCTGTATATTATAGGCTTATATTACAGAAAGCCAGCTGGAGTAGACCCAACGATGTCATCAATCATGTTCTCCCAGACTTCCTAACCGCCTAAACCCTCAAACTGAAATGGTTGTTAGATGACTACCACTAGCAATTGAGACTAGACACTCTCTTATTCGTATCGAGAGCTCTCTTTATGTGGCTATTTCAAGAGTCAGAATTCCTCTTTGCCAGATAGATGTCCCTCGTCCATTATTTCAATGACTTTTTTTTTTCAAGGCTGTCCATTCCTCATCCATTCATTTGTATGAAAGAGTTATGATTGGTTAAAGACCAAGCAGAGCCCACTCTAAACTGGGAATGGGGTTGGCTTGCCTTGAGTCACATCACCTATGTGAAAGGATGGATAGCTGAGGGGAAAAATGAGTATTTGTTGGAAAGCAGGAAGGAGGGAATGGATGCTGTAGTCAAACAGCGATATCAATTACATGGGATATGCTTTGAAGGTGGAATTGACAGGGCTTGCCAATGGAATGAATACTGGTAGAAGAGAGGGTTCAAAAACAGTTCATACAGTGTTGGCTTCAGCAGTTTGAAGGTAAAGGTGTTTGCTGAGATGGGGAAGACCAGAGGAAAAGATAATCAAGGCTTCTGTTTTCATCAAGCTAACTTTAATATACCTATTAAACACTGGAGAGGTGATGGAGTTGTTAAATATAGGAGTATGAGGTTTTAGGGAGAGGCTAAGACTGAGAATGAAGAATGAAATACTACATACGGAGATTTTTTTTTTAAGCAACTAAGACTGAATGAGAATAGAGAATGTATGGATATAGCAAAAATTAGACCCATGCCAAGGTTTTAGAGGAGTACAAAAGGAGCCATTAAGGTAGTTAGAAAACTTGAGTGCAACTCCCCAGCATCATGTGTGGGCATACTGAGAGTAGTACAGATGATTAGCTCTCTGCCAAAAGGGTGGAAGATGTTCCCTCTCTCAACTTGGTAAGTGTGGGACAGAAAGATTATGGTTATCTTTAAAAAATACAGCGTAGATCATGACATGCCATAAAAAGATATTATTAACACATTACACAATCTTTCAAAAGAGAGTTGGCTCATCAGTCCTCTAAACATTTAGTGAGAATAAGATGAAAGAATATGGCATCCAATGGCACCAATTCCAATCCAAGGTCTCATGAAAAATGTTGACCATTATTCAAAACTATTTCAAATGGAATTGATTACGGAAAATTACAAAGGAAAAAAGGCCTGGATTCAAGTCTATATCTGACACGTTAACTATGCAGCCTTGGACCCTTTCACTTTCTTATTTTCTCTGAGACTCAGTTTTCTATTTGATAAAATATTTATAATAGGTCCTTCCTACCTACTTCAGGGGATCATTGTGAAGACCAAATGTTTAAGAAATCTATTAACTGTAAAATCCTATGATTTCCTTCAGCTGCCTGACTAGTCTCACCTTTTACCATTGATGTGCTTCATCATCCTGATGCCAAATACCAATTTTCAGGTACTCAATTCTTAACAAAGACAAAAAAAAACCCCAAATTTTGAAATTTCATTAAGGACAAAACACTGGATAACTAGGGATAACTCAATAAAGCCCCTGTCCAACGCTTAAGACGTTTCAAAATTATACCTCACCCATCAAAACTCAAGTCAAATGAGGTGGCCATCACTCTGGATACTGATCTGACACTGTCAAAATCTAAAGATGACCTTATAACCACTGACCAGAACATTGAGAAAATAGCCAATAAAAAAATTCTTCACATGCTACATTAGCATGTCTGCCTATGTTTCACATATGATTACTTAAATATAAGGTCCTTTTATACTTTCCAAAGTTCTCTCTTATTATTTCATCTGATCACCTAGCAGTTCTGTCAGGTAGGCAGGACAGATTTATGCTTGTCTTAGACGAAAACTTTTTATGTTCAAAATCATTTTGAGGCATAACTTAAATTATACTTCAGGTACCCAACTCCTATTTTGGTGTCAATACTACACAATGTTACATAAATTTTTACATTCTTAATTACTCAACAGTACCAATGATTCTACTTCTAAATGAGTAAGACATTCAAGTTTGAAAATATTCGTAATAAAAACTGTACATTTAGCTCCATTCTAAGTCTTATCAGAAAAAATTCTTTACCAATCAAATTAAATCTCCCACTCACAAAAGTAGACGTGGCGACAGTACTAAATGAATGTTATGTACTGCCTGAGAATACACACATTAACAAAGAATCTTGAGTCGACTTCAATTTTCACAGAGGACACCATTCTTAGAACTACAATCAAATCACTGTGGATTCTAAGTACTAATAATATTCTATCAACCATTAATATTATTATTAACGGTTTAGGAATTAGCAATTTTAAATATTTTAAAAACACAGGTTTTAAAGGATCACCTTAGAAATATCAATAAATATTGCCTAAGCTTTCAAAATACAGATGAGATTAAGGTTAAATATAACTTATAAGAAGTACCTCATAAAGAAGGCCAACATTTAATTGATGTGGTTTAAGAAAAGTATTGAATTGGAGATCCAATGAATTCTAGACTCAAATCATTTAACCTCTCGAAGCCTCAGTTAATATTAAAAAAATTCATAACAGGAAATTTTACTGTCGCTACATAATAAAGTCCTGGAAAATCATGAATAGTATGAGAAAATTAATAATTAGAGGCAAAAGATCAATACTTCTGAACCAAACCAAAATTAGATCAAAACATTTATTTTTTTGTGTTACAAAAGCAAAAATAAAGCCAAGTAGGTAATGAAATAAACATATTTTTTAAAGTGTCCCATCCTGGGTTCTCCTACAATTTAGTAAACAGTTCAAGTTTAGGTTGCTTCAACACTTCTTCTGGATGCTATGAGGTCTCCATCTTATAACCATGTTTCTCTAGTTCGGCTCTATAATAAAACACAAAAAACATCATTAGATATTGTGATAAATTAAAGAAACAGGTAGTTTTTAGAAATAACACAATAAGTAAGTCAACGAGCAAAGTCTAGGCACCAATTTAAAATACTACCAATAGCTTTACTTTAGTCCCTAAAAAAAAATCTATGTAAGAAATTGGATGTGAATCAACATAATGCTAATAAAATTTTACTTTCCCATTAGTAAACTTATATTTCATTTTCTTTAAATTTCTGATAAATCAATTTATGGAAGAAATGTGAAAAATTTACTGCTATCTTCCAAATACCATATAAATGTTCTGTTTTTAAGAATCATGAACTATATGGTTAAGAACACAAGACATTGGTATCAAACGTTTAGGAATTTCATAATCATCACAATAGGTACTGTTATTTACACATAAAGAATAAACACTGGTTTCCATAGTGACATATATCTATTGCTCTAAGCAAGACAAAAACTATAAATTAAATTTATGGATGTGTGCAAATTATTCTGCATTAACTATTTGTAAGCAAAATAATTTTAAATGTGGAACAAAAATCTCAAAATTTATATTGGAATACTTTGAGAATGTCAACTGCAACTGTTTATCTGCCTTGTATAAAACATCTGCACAAAAAAATTTAGCTCTGTAATCAATATCAGCTATTTAAACTACCACTCCAAATATCACTAGCAACTTACCTGCCACGTTTTATAAGAGTTTACAACACAATTATTTGAGTCCAATCTATGATGAAATATTATACAAATGTAAAGTATAATTAATGTATCCTACATCATTACATCCAATAAGATAAAGACATTTGTTCTCAAGTATAACAGCTTAAACACTATCACATTAACCAGTATAAGCACAAGGTAGGAATGATATATAATATTGATTATTCATTTCCCTGAACTCCTTCAATTCTCTAAAATTTTTAGTTATTTATAATACAAATACTGACCTAAAGTCCATGAATAATATTAAAGCTAGAGATTATTCATATGAAACATCTTTGTCTTCTGCTCAGGTGTAGAGGGCAGTATGGGCTGATGGTAAAATTCTGCATCAGGCAGGAGTCAAGAGATCAATCAGTACAAGTTTCTGACTCTACCCCTCCCTTTGCTGAATTTAATAAAAATGCTTCCTTTGCCCCCAACCCAGGAAATTGAAGATTATAATACCTGTCCTTCAGAATTTTTCTATTTAAAATGGAAATAATTTTAAAACTTTTTTAGTTTTCCGCTGCCTTTAACAAAATCAATGTAGATTATTTACTTTCTCTTATTTAACAACAATGACAAAAAACACCCCCAAAATTCAACTTTCGATTAATGTAAACAAGTACACCAACTCAGTCTGTGCCTGTTTGACTTCCTGGCAAGAGGTAGTGACCAATTACATTTATATATGTTTACAAACACAAAAGAAAAAATGATATGCTTCTCTATTAGCTAAATTCTTTGCTAGAATTTAGGATATTAAGAAATAAAAAAGAAAATAAATCTAGGCCACCACATACGAAACACAGAACAATATAAAAACACGAATACATGAGCCTGTTGAATGGAAAAATCCAGCAAAGAAATCCAGCACAACTGCAATGATATCACAGGACACACATAGTAACATACACTATTTGAAACAAAAATAGCAGCACAAAAGTAAGACTAATAGCCACTGGTAGGTTTAGGAAGTCCTCTTCCTTTAATCAGGAACTATAGTGGCTTCTTGAAGTTCTTAGGTAAAATGTGATGCAGGGTTAGGAAAATGTCATAATTCTATCTATTTCTACTGATACGTAAAGAAGCAAATATGTCAGAAACAGCAAAAACAGAAACAGAAGCACTTTTAGTTACTTGGAGACACAAGTAGTCTTTTTCTTTCTACTTTTACTTGTTAAAGGTAATTACACTGAAAGAGAAACACGGAAAGTGGAAAGCTAGGTCCTTGCCGAATACATGGAGCAACATAAGAGGTAGATCCAGAGTTGAACCCCATGGAATATAACTGACTCTAGAATATGAACAGCCTCTCCGAACTTAGATTAGGACCCAACAATAGCAGAAAACAGTAAAACATGTTTTCGTTTTTTTGATTTTTTTTACCACAGTTTATACCACCACTTTAAAGTCCTTAATACAGTTTACAAAGATTAGGATAGGAAGAACATCTTTGCAGGAAACTTGTTAATCAAGACGATTTTTTTTAAAAAGCAGGATTATCTGAGGGTGTGCTGTCCAATATTGTAGTCACATGTAGCTATTTATTAAAATTAGTTCATTAAGTGGAGTTCATTAGCCACGCCAGCCACATTTTATGAGCTTAACAGCCATATGTAACGAGCGAGTTCTGTACTGGATAGTGCAGCTTACAGAACACTTCCATAACTACAGAAAATTCTATTTGATAGCATTGGAGATATATAAACAACCTTGTGAGAAAAGATACTCATGACCCAATAAAAAGAAATAATCTTATTCACTAATGGAGATAACTAAGATTTTTACACTTACAGAAATTCACAAACCTAAAGGCAAAAGCACAACAGAGAACATAAGAGCACTGTGGAGGTGTACTATAAATACAACGAGCTACAAAGAATATATGGATAATTCTCTATTAGCAAACCAGTAAAAAGACAAGATGTAGTAGTGACAAGAAATCTAATTATCAATACATTTACTAAAAAGTCGCTGATAAAATCATAGCATTCAACAATATCTTGATTTAATTTTTAATAGAAAAGTGCTATTTTCTGACAAATGAAAGAAAAAAAGACACTTTGGAGAAACTGAACTCATTTGAAATAGCAAAAGAGAAAACCTCATTTTGCCTCAACTTAAAAAAATTTTAAGAAGATAACAGAAAACACCGATACATGATTAAGAACACAGAACAGTTGAAAAGGCTGAAAATAAATATTCTAACAACATAATATGATCTTAATGAGGAAGAAAGGGAGAATGCATACAAAAAAAAAGTAGCAGGGTATTCTCTGATGTGGCTCAGTTTTAAGAGAATTAAACCAAAAATAAATTCAAAAAGAAAGTGGCAAGAACTTATATACACAGAATTGATTTAATCCTAGAATGGACTGAGATCTGTAAAAATAACAGTTTTGAGAGCTATATATGGATAAAGAATAAGAATAGATAGATCCGATGCCTGGAATAGATGGTGTTATATTAACAGATTTTAGAGAAAAAGCAGGATTACTGTTCAACAGCTATTGTTCCTATCTTGTCCATGAAACTGCACATAAAAAACAACATCATTAAGATAAAATTGAAAACTAAGGTAAGATAACTTCATACTGTATTAAAGTATTTTAAAGGCTCAAGGCTTTGAATAATTACATCTCAGGGTACTAAAAGAACAAAAAGATATAGTCAAAAAATCAAAGAATCAGCAATTTTGAGAAATCACAGAGAATTGTAAAAGTGTTACTCACAAAGAATAACAGTGAAAGGTAAATTGTACTATTTCCAAAAAGGGGAAAAAGGAGATGGGTAAAACTGTAATTAGTATCCAGCAAAACACTAAAGTCCTTAGAATGTACAATTTCTGAGCCCATAAAAAATACACAGTGTAGAACAAAAGCTTCTGTATCATAATTAAGAATGAATTTTAAAATTTTGTTATAAATTATCTCCTTTCCTTTTTGAACAAATGTCCTAGACTAGAAAATCAGACAATTGCAATAGAATTTCAATATCTTGATTTGAACAAAGTATAAGACTTTCTAGATCACTGTGGTGAGGAATAGATATGGATGGGTGGAATCGAAATAAAATTAGGGAGGAAAGAGTTGCCTCTGCAACATATAGTGCTGGTATAACTGGATATGCACATGCAAAAGAATAAAGCTAGACCTTATTTCACATCATATACAAAAATTAATTCAAAATGGACTAACGACCTAAATGTAAGAGCTGAAATTATAAAACTGTTAGAAGAAAACAGAGAGATGAATTTTTATAACCTTAAATTTGGCAATGAATTCTTTAAAAGTAGATAAAAAATTGGACTTCACAAGAATTAAAATCTTTTGTGTGAAGAACGCTATGAAGAAAGTGAAAACGGAATGGGAGAAAATATTTATAAATAATGTCTGATAAAGGCCTAGTGCCTAGAAAATATAAAGAACTTTTACAACTCAACAACAAAGACAAACAACCAAACTTAAAAATGGGCAAAGGACTTGAATAACTATTTCTCAAAAAAAGATGCAGAAATGGTCAACAAATACATGAAGAGGTTATCAGTTAGAAAACAGAACCAGTCAGAAATAAAGAATACAATAACTGAAATGAAGCATACATGAAAGGGAATCTACAGATTAGATGAAATAGAGGATCAAATCAGCAATTTAGAATGTAGCAGAAAACATCCAATCAGAACAGCAAAAAGAAAAAAGAATCCAAAAAAACGAGGACAGTTTAAGGGGCCTCTGGGACATCAAATATAACTACATTAGCATAATAGGGGTACCAGACAGAGAAGGTAGAGAGCAAGAAATTGAAAACTTATTTGAAGAAATAATGACTTCCCTAACCTGGTGAAGGAAATAGACATACAATAACAGGAAGCTTAGAGTACCAAACAAGATGAACCCAAAGAGGCCCACACCAAGACACATCCTAAATAAAGGTTAAAAACAAAGAGAGAATCTTAAAAGCAGTAAGAGAAAAGCAATTAGTTACTTACAAGGGAGTTCCCATAAGACTGTCAGCTGATTTCTCAACAGAAATTTTGGAGGCCAGAAGTGCTTGGCGCAAAAAATTCAGAGCAAGGACCTATAGCCAAAATTACTCTACTCAGCAAAGCTATCATTTAGAATCGAAGGAGAAATAAAGAGCTTCCCAGACAAAAACAAAAGCAAAGGAGTTCATCAATACCAAACTAGAATTACAAAAAATGGTAGAGAGATTTAAGAAGATAAAAAATATGAATAATACAATGGCAATAACTACATATCTGTGAACAATTACTTTAAATGTAAATGGATAAATGCTCCAATGAAAAGATGGGGTGGCTAAATGGATAAGAAAACAAGACCCTTACATATACTGCCTACGAGAAACTCATTTCAGATTAAAAGACACACACAGACTAAAAGTTAAAGGAAAAGAAAAAGATATTTCATGAAAATGGAAACAAACAAACAAAAAGCTGGGGGAGCAATTCTTATATAAGACAAAACAGACTTTAAAACAAGGGCTATAACAAGAGACAAAGAAAGACCCAGTAATCCCACTTCTGGGTATTCATCTAAAGAAATCCAAAACACTATTTCAAAGGGACATGTGAATCTATATGTTCACGGCAGTATTATTTACAACAGCCAAGATATGGAGGCAACCTGGGTGTCCATGAATGGATAAAGAAGAGATGGTACATGTATACAGTGGAATATCACTCAGCCACAAAAAAAGAATGAAATCTTGTCATCTGCAACAACATGGATGGACCTAAAGGGTATTATGCTGAGCAGAGTAAGTCAGACAGAGAAAGACAAATGCTATATGATTTCACTTACATGTGGAATCTATGGAATAAAATAAACAAAGAAAACAGAAACAAACTAATAGATACAGAGAACACTGTGATGGTTGCCAGATGGAAGGGGTTGGGAGGATGAGTGAAAAGAGAAGGAATTAAGTACACATTGGTAGTTACAGAATAGTCAGGGGATATAAAGTATAGCATATGGAATATAGTCAGTAATATTATAATAACTATGTATGGTGTCAGATGGGTACCAGATTTATTGGGGTAATTACTTTGTAAATTGTATAAATGTCTAATCGCTATGTTGTACACCTGGAACTGATATGATATTGTATGCAAACTATAATTGAAAATTTTTTAATTATTTAAAGAAAAAAGTTAATCTGGTTTGTAAGTCAAAGAGCAATGGAATTACAAATGCTCTTTATTATCTTCAAATTGCTTATCTTTTCTACATTTTTAATGATGAACATTTATTATTTATGTAATAAAATGATCAAAACAATCCGAAAAAAAGAGATTAGTCATTGGGGAAATGAAAATCAAAACCACAATGAAATATCAGTTCACACCCACTAGGATGGTTATGATAAAAAAATGAAAATTAACAATTTTGGTAAGAATATGAAGAGATTAGAACCTTCACACATTGCTGGTAATGTAAAATTGTTCAGCTGCTGTGAAAAAGTTTGGCAGTTCCGCAAAAACAGTTAAACAGAATTACAGTATGACCCAGCAATTCCACTCTTCAGATTATATGCCCAAAATGTAAACACAGGTTTTCAAATAAAAACTGTACATGAATGTTCATAGCAGCACTGTTCACAACAGCCATAATCTGAAAACAACCTAAATGTCTCCCAACTAATTAAGAAGATAAACAAACTGTGGCACATCCATACAATGGAATATCATTCAGCCATAAAAAGGAATGAAATACTGAAACATGCTACAACATGGATGAAACTTGAAAACATTATGCTAAGTGAAAGAAGCTTAGACACACACGATCACTTATTGTATGAAATATCTAGCACAAGCATATCCAGAGACAGAAAGCAGGTTAGTGGTTGCCAGGGGCTGGGGGAAAAGAGAAATGTACAGTGAATGCTTAAGGGGTACGGTGTTCCTTTTGGGGTGCTAAAAATGTTTTTGAATTAAATAGAAATGATGGTTAAACGACACAATATACAAAGTGTCACTAAACTGTACACTAAATGGTTAATTTTATATTATATAAATTTTACTTTGCTCAAGCAATCACTGAATTAGGTAGATTTGTACATGAACATGAAAAAGTATACTCCCCATCACCCCAATCTCCATTCCAGGTTGAGAATCACCAATTTATTAGATCCTAGCACTCTGATTTTAACTTCTGCTGTGATTCGATATTGGCAGAACATTAACATTGACAGAATTAAATCCACAAGGATAAAAAATAGCAAATATCTTTCTACTTAACTCCTTTTGTAAAGAGCATAGAAAGAACAAAAGTTCTACGCAATTACATCAAGTTCATGTTTAGCAACACAGGAGAGGAAGGCAGAATGTCTTACTTTTTATAATCCAAAAACATATTGCAAAGATTAATCATCTTTTAAGAGCTCAATTATCATATGTAAATTACATATTCCATGCTTACAATTAATGCTGTTATATAAAAACCTGGCTGAAAGCTTACCGTAACTGATTAGAGAAGTCATCCTCTACATTGTCATCATCCCAATTATCCTCCCAGACATGTGCATCTTCGTCTTCATCTAAACCAGCCCAGTCTACAAACAGAAACAGATGCTGTCTAAATATTTCTCATATATTATTTCCATAAACACAAAAACTTCAGAAAGTTTGCCACTGAAGGCTCTCACAATTCAAAATACTGTATCTATGAGAAATGGTAATCTTCCTCTTTAAATCTCAATTTATGCTGTCTTGTTCTCTCAATTCTTGAATTTGCAGATAATTTAAAACAGAAGTTAATATAAAAAATTCTATTTGCCATGAAAATTTATTATAATTTCAGGATGATATTTATTTTTCTAGTTATAACATCTATTTCACAATCTTTCAAAACAAAACAGCACTAACAACACTAAGGCAAGTAGAGAAGCAAGAAGATACCGGCCTGAAATTCAAAATTGTAATACATAAAAAAAGATAAGTCATATACAGATAATAAAAAGTAGGCCAAATATTTTCTTAAACATGATTGCAAGATTGTTTTATAGTATATGTCTTTATTCTTTAAGACATGCATGCTGAAATATTTAAGTCAAGTGTAACTTTGACAGTTTACTTACAAATGATTCTTATATATATATACTAGACATATATTTGTATCATATGTACGATATAAATAAATGACAAAATATTATCTGATGAACTTAGGTATTTGATTTGCCACCTTCTTTAATTGAAGATACAACTGACATTTAACGTTATATTAGTTTCAGGTGTACAACACAATGATTTGATATTTGTATATATTACAAAATGATCACCACAATAAATCCAGTTAACATCACCACCATACAGTTACAAAAAAATTTTTTCTCCACCTCTCCCATTCCGCACTTGCTCTCTTTTTAATACTTTTCTACAGTGTTTAAAGTTTTAATATTAAAATGTGCGAAAAATAGTTTTTAAAAGATCTATTTGGAAATTACCTCTGGAAACCTTCACAATTCCCTTTTCCTCGTCCTTACCCTCAGAGATTATGTCTCCTTTTTGTGTGTATATCTCTATCACAGCACTTATATACTGTACAATCACAATTATGTTTATATGTCTATGTCCATTACTAGTGTTTGAGCTCCTTAAGAAAAACTTTTATTTACCTTTGTATTCTTAAACTCAAACAGTACCTAGCATATGTACAACAAATGGCTGTGAAACATGCAACAGAACTTTAAATCAGATGTATTTTGTTTAATGCCCTCTCCTCCAAAAACAGTAATTATAAGCTGCACACTCTTAAGTGTCCTAGCCATTAGCCTCATCTTAGTAGTTACCCAAGAGCTACACACTCTTACATCCTAGACATTAGCTTTATCTTAGTAGTTATCCATTAGAAACATGGCTAAGAACATTTCAACCTAAAAAGAAAAATAACTAACAAAAGGTGCAATTTAGGCTTTTCTTCTTATAATGCACATATAGATTTAAAGCTTTTCAGCAATGGCTTATAATAGGGGTATTTTATTTGTTACAGTATGTATCGATAAAATTTTTTAATGTGATGTACATCTTCGTCATAATTTAAAAAGAAAGTCCCCCCATTTACCTGGTTCCCCAAACCAGAAATCTGCGAGGTATCTTAGCTACTCTTTCTCCAACTATCAGAATCATTCATTACGTCCTTTCTATTTCGACTCAACTATCTCCAGAGTTAGTTTCCCCTTCCCTATTCTCACTGCCACTATGTTAATTTTTATCACTGATTATTCCCTTCACAGACTATTACTGTGGTCCTCTTTTGTCCCCTTTTCCCCAACCTTACAGAGTACATATACCCATCCTCTACTGATGGCTAAAATGACCACTGCCATTCCTGTCAGTTACTATTCAAGACTTTCAGGTAGGAACCAAATTTTATTAAATTTGCAACTCTAATGCCTACAGCCAAATGCTGGGCACACAGCAGAAACCCAGTAAAATGTTGGGTAAATGGAACTACATTTCTTAAGTTCCCTCCCTCTGAGTGGTCAATTGCTAGTGATGGTTTCACTTGGTTTCAGTAAAGCCAAGAGTATATATTTCAAGATAGAAGAGATCAACAATATCATGTATTATGAATGAGTTATATAAAATTCATAACTGTATTTAAGAATGTTTTTGAGAACAGTGATCACCTCATTCAATGCTCCCCTAAGAAAGATCATGTGGGAAATTTCTTTAAAACTTCAGTGCCTGAAAAAATGAAAAAGTTTTTCTTAGTATATTTATTTCAAGTTGCTAAGAAGCGCAGTCAAATGTATACCTAACTTTAATCATTGTATAGGGCACTGAGTGTATATTCATTAACAAAAATTCTCAATAAAAAATACTAATTGTTAACTGCATAAATTTTCTAGTAATATTATTACACCACCTAGTAATATTATTCTTAAAGAAGGAGCACTGCAATTACCTGAATTTAAATCCTATACTATTCGCTGAGGTTCTTAACAACAGTAATAATAATATTGACTATTACAACTCAAAACTAAATTGACTAGGCTAGATCTATCCTTACATTTTCTCCTTTCTTGTAGAAGTATCTTTAAGCTCAAACTGAAAATTTTATTGTTTGTGAAACTATTTATAATGAGAATAGATTAAGAAGTTAAAGAAAAGGAAATTACATTCAAGATTTCCCTCAGTTTATGAAAGGGTGATGAGATACCTACTGCAACCCAATTTTTAAAATAGATACATGTATTCCCAAAGCTAAAGATAAAATAAAAGAATATTTTTGCACTTCTATAGACTAAAAAAGTGATTAGTTAAGAGTTAATCATTAAATATAGGGATAAAATAGTGCTGTTACTCATATTGCGATTGTAATCAATAATAAACTGTTTACTACATAAGTTATAATGTTAGACATAAACTTTCTTTGTTGTTCTTCTAAGAACAAAAAAATCTCAGTCAGAAAAAAAGTGAGTTATCACAACACAAAAAATACAGCAGGCAGAGTGTGCAGTTTTCAGTATACAAGAGAGGAATATTAAGTAAAAGTGGTATGGGGTGCAGCCTAAGATCAAATGTAAAGATAAAATCATCCGAAATCAACCAAATAATTTAAATTTTAAAAACTGAAAAAAGCATTTCAAATCTCAAACTTATCTTTTATAGAAATTTAGATTCTTGGCTATTGAACTTATAATGGAACTAAATCCATTATCCCTTTTGTATCGAGAACAATAACTATATTATCTCTCCACATTCCTTCCAGTTACTATAACCTAGAGCTCCATAGCTTCCTAATAATATTAATAGACAACTTAGAATTTTGTCTCTTATTTTGTTTTAATGACATTAAGACCTTCCAGTATAAAAAATTCACATAACACTATTTCATTAAACTACAACATAGCAAGGTTTGGCTTTGGCTTTATACTTCAAGTTTTTATAAAATGGCTAATACTGAATATTGTTTAAAATTACAGAATTTTGGAGACAAAAACCTTAGAGATCACTGTACATTATAATCTTCTTTGTTTGAAAACTTCCACCATTATCACTATTAAAAAAAAAAAGTAAAGACTGTCTTACAAGAAAATATTAACTTTTTCTACCATTATTTCACAGCCTTAACTCCTAGACTTTAAATATGTTTGGATTGAGCCTAGAAATAGGAGCTGCCAAATTAAATATTTGTTTTACTGATATTTTAAGGAGTTTTTATAAATATATCTAATAAAGTTTAATGTCCAAAAAAAAAAATCTGAATGTACAATATGTTCTTGAATAAAGGGTGTGACACAACTCAAGTCACAATTGAATTGTTTTAAGGTTCTAAGACACCAAGCCTCACATCAGCCTGAACCACTTCTAACTAACCGGCTTCCTTAACTGACCAGGTGGTTTCCATCTGCACTGGTCCCTTAAAAAAAAAAAAAAAAAGATAACATGTCAAAAGATTCAAGTGAGAAATATAAAATAACAGAAATATATATATTTCATATGTCTCTACTAACCTTATAAGCCTACCCTTTACAGAAGAGTAAAAATATAGGGACCCCCAGGAACTTTTAACGTAATTATGACTTGATTCAAAATGTTGATTTCAACACTATTTGATGTCATTCTAATGTCTTCAAGCTAGCTTTAATTCTTTTAATTTTAAGAGTCAAAAAAACATACTTGTTAATTTGTTTTCTAGGAGTGCCAACCCATAATACTAAAAAGGCTAGAAAAAGTCAAAATAACAAAATAAGGGAGATACTAAAAGTCTTTTTTTTTAAGAGGTACAGTTTTTAGTTTATTGAGATGAATTCTGAAGATCATTTAGCATAAGGACAAAACATCAATCCCCCCCATTTATAATCATCCCATGCTATTTTAATAAAAGGAAAGGAAAAGGAAGAAGGTAGAAATAAAATCTCAAGAAAAAGAAATGGCTCACAAAGGGGAAAATAACAGTATTGTGAGCAAAATTTTAGGTAGAACGACACACATAAAAAGATTCATGACACTAGCTCTATATTTCTTTGGCATCATTATACAGTACATCATAATTAAGACACATAATTAAGACAGTTTGTATTTTGTAAAAATACAAAGACAAAACAGCTGGTTAAATTCTTCATTAATCATCACGTAAATTTGAATGCACTCTTTAACCTTAGAGTGAGATGCACTGAAGTCTATATGCCATACTATTCTTCTAATCACCATAGATGAAGAACCCAAGACAATAATTAACCTTTTGAATTACAACTTATTTTAAGTTATTTAATAAGCATACCACTAAGAAATTTTAGTGTTCACCCCAACAAACCAGAATCTGTATTTTACAGAGAAACTTTAAAGATTTTATTACTTAGAAATATACTATATTATGTAAAAAGTTTAAATGATAGAGTATGATAGTCCCAAATATTATTTCCAACACATAAATCCATCATACTGTACATGTTACATGTAAATTACAATATAGGTAAACTCTTAAGTGTACGTGTAACAAACAAGCTATGATTGTTATAATCTCTGGGATTTGGCTGACATCTCTTGCAACACATCTCTGAATTCTGGTTTAATTTTCAATTACGACATACACTGATAACCATGC